AACCAAAAAAAAAAAAAAAAAAAGAAAAGAAAAAAAAGTGTGACTAGCATAAAGACAAACCAGATAGCCCAGAAAGAAGACATCTTCACAAATATGGTAAAATGATTTTTTGACAAGAGTGATGAGGTAATTATTTTTAATATATAATGCTGGGATATCTGTGCAACAGAAGGGACTTGGGTTCTTATCTAACATCATATACAAAAATTAACTCAAAATGGAATAAAGATGTAAACATAAGAATTAAGACTATACAAGTTTTACAAGAAAACAGAGGGAAAACTTCATGACACTGGATTTGGCAATAATTTCTTGACATAGAAGGGAAAACATGTTTAGAAATTAAATAACAGGCACTGGAAATAAAAAAATAGACAAATTGGACTTAATCAAAATTGAAAACCTCTATATATTAAATGACACTACAACAGAATAAAAAGGCAACTCACAGAATGGGAAAACTACTTGCAATCTACATACCTGATAAGGGTTTAAAAGAATATAGAGGCATTCTTAACAACAAAACCCAACTAAAAACAACTCAGAGGTAGAATAAAGTGAAGATTTGTACTTAAAAAGAATGAATTTACTGCTTAACATCAACTTTAAATATTTTCCTTTTAAGAAAACTGTCTCAGATTTGAGACACTGCACCTGGAAAATGTAATATAGAGTGAAAAAAAAACAGACACAAGTTTAAACACCATATGGTATCCCTCATTTGAGCAATGCCAAAAACAAACAAAATAATAAAACATGAATGGAAGGAGACAAGAGAATGTATCTCTTTCAAATGGGAAGGGGTCCAAGAGATGAAGGACAAGGGTTGAATGGGAGGGGAAAGGCAAATAAGTAGAATAAAATATGCCATGCCTGAGGACCTAATAATTTCAAAGAATGTAAGCATTATTTGCCATAAATATATGCTAAGATTAATTTCTATAACAATGAAAATGGGAAAGGAAATGGGAGTTAAAGGATGAGGGCAGGAGCAGTGGAAAAGGTATTTTTAAAAACACGCGTTATATTATTTACATGTACCTCTCCCCATAATGATTGGAAACTCCATGTACGAAAACATATACAAGTAAAAAAGAGGGCTGGGGATTTAGCTCAGTGGTGCTGCTGGCTGCTTCGCAAGCACAAGTACCTGAGTTCCATCCCCGGTACCAGAAAGAAAAAAAAAAATACAAACAAAAAGAATTATATAGTTTGAAAAAAAGTTGACTCGTTTACAGTTAAACCAAAATATAGTCTAATGAATAATGAATAATGGCAAAAACTGGTAATGTGTATGTTAATATTTTTTTCAAATTAATTAATATTTAATAATAGCAGCCATCATTTGGTTTTGTATTATTTACCAGACACTGGTAAAGGACTTTGTAGGCATGATTTATTTAATCCTAATGACAGCCATAGGTCACAGTTGTTACTATTATTGAAACTTAAGTGCAAGGGACAAATAACATGTCTCCTAGGGTCAATATTTCAGCTTTAGCAATTGGATTCTGGTATTTACAGTCTTACCATTTTTACGGTATCCTTGGTCATCATTTTTTCAAGTAACTGCTATTTAATGAATTTAACACAGACACATTTTGCCAAAATTGCCCACAGATTTAATCCTTAGTGTTAAATGTATAGGGTAATGTGCTTAATAAGTATCTAATAAATGACAAAAAAAGCACATTTCAAAACTTGAACTTTCTAATAACCTGATAAATTATCAGGCAGTTTAGCAACATGATTTTACTTTTGATACTGAAATATGCAAGAGCATTTTAACTTCCACTATATATATCAACAGAAACTGGAGGAAATTATTCAACTTCTGAAACCTCTATCTTACAGTTGCCAAGTGATTCATCAACATAAATCAGGTGATTCCTTTTGGAAAGTGATACATTTTTCAATACTTTTAAATAAAAAATATTTACCTGATTGTTCTAAAATTCTTGGTTCAGGTTCATCCAATTGTAGAAGCTCATCAAGAGCTAATTTTGCTGCATTGTATCTAGACTCCTTTTTATTTTGTCCCAGTCCAGTCTTATATTGAATACCATCCACCACAGCACAGAAAGCAAAATATGGTCCTATCACATTACCTTGAAAAAGAACTCAGAATGAATGCCACAATAATTCACAGTATATTCTTGCAAACAATGTCTATATATAGGAAAACATTCCAGAACAAAAATTCTGGAAAACAATTTAGTCTAAAACACCAGCCTTTCTGCAGGTCCAAAAGGGTTGAAACTAAAGCTAGATGGGGCCCTTATCTAGTTCTCAGGCTTCAAGTACATAAATTTACTCTAGATTCAGGATGAGCAATAGAGTCAACTTTAGAATACTGCATAAGTCAAACACTGGGTGACAGTGAGTTTCTAATATCATGCTGGACACTCAATCTGTTGAACCACCAGAAAGAGATAAAATAAAGAGACTTCTGGTGACATTTTTCTTTCCAAAACTTTAGGACAAATAAAGTTGAATTCATCACTTTTCTGGATGTCTCTAACACTTATAAATCCCAAAACATAACAAATTCCTTTGAAAAAAACCTATGTAGTGATCAGGGCATCATAGTAAATAACCATAATCCACTATAGCTTAGGGAAGATGGAGGGGGACCCCACAAAGAAAATCAAAATATAAACAACAATGAAAAGGAATTAAACTGAAAATCTATTCTTCCAAAATTACTTTCATATTATTTGATAAAGATGAAATGGAATAATCTCATAAATATATGGGCTAAAGACTTTTCTCATTTAAGTTTTTCTTGTTGGTATGTGGACTCTTAACAGTCTAAATTCCCACACTTCGGTTATGGATAGCTAGATACAATGTCACGGCACATAAACCCTACCATCTTATTTCCCCACATATCTCATCATTCTTTTTTAATTCAGCAAAGCTTTATCAAAAATTCTTGTCTATTATTGGGTACTACTTTCTGACCATCATTTAAAACATCAATTTCCTAGATTCCTTCCTTCATCATGATCTGTGTTGCAATCTAAATTTACTAAGCTAGAGGGCATTTTGTATACTTAACAGAGGACCTATCAGTTTTTATCAGGGTTCTCAAGATTTAATATGATTCTAAATCACATGCAGAACTTGTATCCCAGTCTTGATACCCAACCTACACAACCATACTTTGAATATAAAATGAATGCCATTAATAATTAGTGAGGCATACATTTGAGTAGTGTTTGCTCAGAGCAATGAAAGTTTTCTTTTGTAAATTTTTTTTTCTTTCTTACAGTGACCAACAGCTCACATTTTCCAGGGGTATTCTGTGAATAATACTGGAAAATTAACAAGTTACTTAGACATGAAGCCCACCTTTTATATTAAAAAGAGGCCACCTTCTACATTATGATGCTATATTTTGTCAACTGTTAAATTTACTGGTATTTCATTCAAAGCAACAGACTGAAAGTTGCTATTACTGTGACAACCTTTACTAAAATCAATAGGTCTAAGTTCCTCTGCAAAGATACTAGCTTTGAGATCCATACTGGCAAAACAGTAGTGGGAAAATTAAATAAATCAACCTTCTTGCAGGTATATGTGTATATTCAGGTACATATAAACATGAATATTTTTTAAAAGCTTTTTTTAACTCATAGCTTTAAACTATCGAGGATTCTTAAAAGCACTCATTCTTTTATTCCACTTTGCTAAAGTTCTTCCCAATTACTAGCCATAACATGAAGAGATCAGAAGCTGCTTCATACATTTTACTGATCTACACTTCAGTAGCCTTCCACAGGTACATGATAAAGGTTGTAAAGTTTAAGGGAGAATGGTAGAAACTGTAACACACAAGTCTACAAACAGTACCAACTGCATAGCTGGTCTTTTCACATCAAATCCCTGAATTTCAAGCGCCATATTTTCCTTAGGCATCATAATCATAAAATCTTTTTAAGATCATCGTAGCCCAAATATTTAACATCACTAGAAAAGCATGATTTATGTGCAGGAAGTATTTATACCCCCCAAATAATCCAGGAGATTGACTTCACACACACAAAAAAATTGCAATTCTATTGACAATAAAACTTTTATATATTAATTTGCAGATAAAAAGTAGAAACATAAAAGTTTAAGTACATTTGTCAAACTGGTATTTATCTAACCCTATTAGTCCATGCAATAACCAAAAGTAGCACCACTTAAATGTTCTGCCTTTAAAGGAAACACACTTTCCAGTACTCTCATAATTTTGTACTTGCCTGGTGTAACAGTTTCCTTAAGGTAAAGCTGAACCCGATGCATTTGTGCAAATTGGTGCAAGGCCGATACAGGATTTAGCTCTCCACGTTTGTATTTCATTATAAATTCCTTAGGTGTTTTTTTGGGGGGAAGGACAGGATTTGAAATGGATGAAAGACTTTTGGAAAGCAATGGTTCTGGAAAATTACCTAAAAAAATTGTTTACATTGTTAATTTAGTTTAAAAAATGAGCGAAAACACTAAGTCCTTGAAAATGGAAAATAAACTTAGTCACATGTGTTTTTCATAAGTTTCTATTGAATAATTTTAGCATACATGATAGGCACAGTCTATTATTGTATATATCTTTCATCATACTAAGGCTATTTTTCAAAGAAGCAATAATACCATTATTACATCGTTAATGATATACAAGAATCATGAAATTTTAGCAATGTCAAAGTCTTTATAGATGATGTTTCTGAGACCTAGAATAGAGAAAGCCAGTTGGCACTAAAATCTAGTTTACATCTCTCATCCACTATTTTATACCGCCACCATATTCAGGTGTCACAAATTATTTGACAGGCATGCTTCAAGTTCAATTGAATTTTTAAGTATGCAGGTCTTTGCTTTGTATTTAATACTAAGCTAAATGATGCATGAAATACAAATTCACGTAACTCCAGTCCTCACATCAAAAAGACAAAACACACTTGAAGCCTTCCGGCAGTGACGGTAGTAACGAACGAATTATGTGAGCAGCAGGGAATGAGTTCTACAGGCCCCAGGGAATGAGTTCTACAGGCCCCCACAGTGTTGGAAGTCAGATGCTCTCCAGGTGTGAAGTAGCCACAGTGAAATGTATATACAGTTCATCTGGGAAACTTTTAAACCTGTGATTCAAAAGAACGTACTGCCCGCTCAGAATCTTAAAGCACTGAGGCACTACTACAAATGAATAGAAAGCTTACCTGTCACTTGAGTGACACTGAATGCCATATTTGACAGGCTGCTACTTTCAGAGGAACATCTTGTAGTTGTAGGTACCGTCTGAACTGCTGGTTGAATGGGCAAATTCTTTTGCAACATCTGAGCAAAGCTGGGGACCCTGGACCTCTGAAACCAATCACTGCTGCCAGAAGTTTTCTCACCTACAAATCATGATAAAATTGGTGGAAAATGAAAACACATACTAAGAATACTCTGGAAAAACAAAAGAAGCCTAAACCCTGATTTTCTATTAAGAGCCTTCACACACATAACTGAAGGCCAAATCCTTCTAAAAGATTTCAAGATTGCTTTATGAATTTTAATAGATATTGCACTCTTCTCTCCCAAATCCTTTCCCTAACTCTACTACAAAGAGGCCAAGAAAGGAAAGCTGTCTAGGGAAACCTTAAATCTACTCAGGGATTAGGAGAGACATAAGGAGGGTCAGAAAAAAAGAAAAGAAAACAAAACAAAAAAACAACAGCAACAGTATATGTTGGCCTCTCAAATTGTAGCGCAGCTCCCACTCACTGAGGTCGTCCTCCTCGCCTCCGTCTCGGGCGGACCCCGCGGGCGGGCGGGTGTTGGTCAGAGGCAGGCCTAGCCTCAGACTCTGGGCTCGCCGGCTGCCTCCTGCTGCCGCCATTGCTCGCTCAGGCCTCAACTGCTCTCCTCAGGCTGAAGCACGCGGCCCCGTCGCGTCTTTTAAAAGAGGCTGTGAGAGGCCCACCCCTGCTGCCCTCTTTGTCCAATCACCAACGGTCTCCGTGGCCCGTGCCCAGCCCCCGCCCCGCGGATTCGAGGCCTCTGTGATGATGTTGGGGTTCGCTGAGCACCGGGCTCTGGGCAGAGGGGCAGTCTTGCTAGCTGGAGAAATCTGGTAAAACCTCTGAGTTGGGCCTCTCAGCTGCTTGACTGCGCCTCCACCCGTCTTCACAGAGTACCGTGAGGTCGCTTACCTGCTCCACAGTTTGTAGGGCATCCTTACCCAGGTGTTTGGAGCTACCTCAGGGTACCTTTGTGTGGCAGGAGTTTCAGGCACACCCTTCATTTTATTCATAGTTACAACCTGCGAAAATACCAATGGGCATGACCTGCCCTTAGTAACTAACTTTCCTGTGAAAACACCAGAGATTTGAAGAAGCTTGGCTCCAGAAGATAAAGGAATCATTCAAGAACACAAGTTGGGTGCTGAAAGGAAATGACTCTGATATTTGAGTGACAAATCCAATGTGGCTGTTTTTAAGTATTTGCTTTCCTAAAAGTTGAAAGAGTACCTAATTGAAAGGTTCCTTGAAAGATTGTTTAAAACATTTTTAATAGTAAATATCTTAAACACTGACCAAGTTTTCCTGTGTAATCAGTAATTGAGTGACATTGTAACAAAATTTCATTGACCATCTACTTTTTTATATGGACACAGTTTCCTAAGGGTTAAATCTTTTTTCAAAAACAAGAAAAAAAGGCAAGAATTGATGGCTCATTGTCACAAGAGGTTAATCCTTCCATAAATATGTGGTGCAATTAAAAGAAAAACGGATCTATCCCTCTCATTAAGCAATGCATTTTTAGTAAGGGTACTTTTCTTTAGTGATTATCAAAATGTGTTGATCGTATTGTTTTGATCAAGTTCCCATTAACAGTTGTAATGATAACTCAATCTACATTTTTTTCTTAGCATTTAAAGACTTTTGATTAAGGAAATTAAAAAATTTAAATGTTGCCAAAATGTATAAAGACAGAGTAAAACTTCAGTACAAAATGTAGTTTCATTAGGATCAAATATGAAGGGAGAAAAAGAATGCAACTAAAGGCTCAAGGAGTAAAAGGAATAAGATAAAAATTTGTTTCAAACTATATAATCAATGCATGGGATCACAAGTATAGCTGCTTAGGTCATATTGATCCAATAGGGAAGTAGGTAAGGTAGCAAGGGTACACATGGACAAAACAGAGCCTTTTTGGAAAGGGATGGGTTCGGATGCTCTGGTCACCGACCTGGGTGACTGATGTCTAGCTGGACTTTACTGGACTAGGTTATACCAATTATAGTATAATCTAAAGGTATTGCTTATCCCTCAGTGAGGCATGTAGGCCTGGTAATTCCATCTTTATCTTGAGGCCCAGTCTTCTTCAGATGTGCCTCCAGCCACAGTTCTGATGTCTCTATTCTTTGTGCTAACTTCCTTGAGAGCTCAGTCCCTCTCTGACTATATATTAATTTCTGTCTAACTTAGCTGCCTATAATAGTGGCCTGGGTATTGGTGTTGCCTGAAGGGCCCAAAGATCTTGAAGGCTCTTTTCATTCCTTTTTTTTTTTTTTTTTTTTTGCTATTTAAAAAAAAAAACATCTTCAGGTTCAGATATTCATTCTTCTGCTTCCTTTTATGTGTTATTGAGGCTTTCAAATTTTTGTGACTCACTGAACTCTTACCCACATTGAGCCCCTGATAAATGGGCTCGGTGGCAACCCACTTCTGGAACCACTCCTGTCTCTCAGGAGATAGCTCTCAATAAATTTTTCTACCCTCAAAAACAAACAAACAAACAAACAAACAAAACTTTCTGTTTCATTTTCATTCCAGAGTTTCACTCACTAATTTTAACATTCATCTTTAGTGCCTATTGAAGCTGTTATTGCATTATAATGATAATTTTCTATTTCTTTCATTCCTTCTACATTTATTACTTGGAATTTTATAAGAAATATTTGTCTACTTCCTTTATAATTATTCAATCATTTATTTAAAAATAGGGGTCATAGAAATTTATTTTATGTAGTATAATTATTTTGTTGTTTGAATTATCCAACTTTCATCACTGGAAGGTCTTTCACTATCAGGAGGCTGCTCTATCCTTCTGAAATGCTTTCATCTTTTTTACAAAAAGGGAAAAGAAAAAAATGTGAGAGAATGAAAAGATGAAAATAAACTGTTTGTACATGGGGAGGGGAGAAGGGGGTGAACGGAGGGCAGAGGTAAGGGGAGAAAATGAGAATCAAGACTTGTCATGTAGAGGTACAAGATCCCAATGATGAATGTTAACTGTACTGTATCCCTAAAATGTACCAGTAAACTCAATTAAAGCTGAAAAAAAATTTAAAAAAAAAGATTTTCTTTAATTTCTGTTGCTATAAGACAGTTGCATTTCCCCTCCCTTAGACCAAAAATTGGCCAAGAAGCTGTGGCTACTAACTGAAGAACAGGATTTAAAGACTAAGATCTGGGCACTGGTTATTTTTATTCTTTGTATTCCTGTCCAGAGGACAGCTAGGAAAATGTTATTTGTATATATTAACTCACATATACAGATTAATCTCCATTTCTGTATCTCCATAAAAATGAGTTTGTACTTATCCCTTTGTTTTTGTTTTTGTTTGTTTTTTTAGAGCAGGAAAAATTTATTGAGGGAAAGAAAGCTTCTGTCTAAGAGAGACAGAACAGGGACCAGACAGTGGGTTGCCTGCTCACTCTAATTTTCAAAGAGGTTTTATACAGCAAAACCATATGGGGAGGTAGGTACAAAGTGGGACAAAACTGTAAGACCCAATGAAAAACTTCAAGGTGGGTATGAGGTAGGGCAAAACCATACCAACCAATAAGATTACAAGTACTCACCCAGGTAATATTGATTAAATGGGGGATCAAGTCACATAGCAAGCATATACAAGGATTTTCAGTAAGGGTGGGAGTCAGGGATGTTTCCTGGAAAGGCTGGGTTAAGACCTCAGCCCCCCACCTAGGTTATTGAAACCTATTTAGAGTATCAATCACTGCTATTTATCCCCAGGGGAAGCACAAAAGTTTCTCTCCTTTTATAATTCTGGCCTTCAGTGAATGTATCTTGATTGTCCTCCATGTTGGCTTCTTGCTGTGTGGGCTCCTAGAGGGTGGCCCTGTTTAACTGCCTACAAGATATCTAATTAACTTACCTATCTGCAATATTCTCCTCTCTGAAGAAGTAACTGTTAACTGCTGCAAGGGGGCAAAGGGTGAAGACACCTCTGGCTACTTTCAGCTGAAAGGGGTCATAATTATGATCAGCAGTTAGAGTGACTCTACAGAGGGTCTATCTAAAGGCCTTTGGTAGATGCCTGGCATTGTCATCTTGGTAGCTGCATAGCTTTTAAATCTGGAGACAAAGCCAAAGAAACAGTTAAGGATGCATGGGCCAAAGTATAAGATCAGCAGGACTGCTATGAATATAGCCCACAAAGAGGATAAGGACAAGGTCTAGAGGACTTCAGAATCCAACAAGAAGTCATTTTATACAGTTTAGAAGTTAATGAGTTGCTTACAGGGTCAATCTGGTGGATCCCAGTAAAAGAAGTCTAGAACATTTGTCATTGGTTCCATTTGTATGACCACTTGGAGTTTGGCAGTCTCTCAGCAAGAATAAACAAAACTTTTAAGAAATTAAGAGTATGCATCATCTAAGCATGAGGACACTAGAATGAAAGGGCAGGTTGGGGAGAAAGTCACACTTAGGAATTGAATTAGTGATTGAATCTGCTGGTCTTAGATTCTTTCTCTGATCGAAGTATAAGTGTCATACTTTGTCATAAGTCTCTCTAGTTTTAGCTCTAAGATAAGAGGCAATTCGAAGAATAAATTTTGCAAAGAAATACAAAACTCTAGCTGAGCTCTTACAGATTTTACCATAGTTTTTTCCTAATGATCCATAACTATGGTCAGCTACTGGTAGAGCTGGAAACTGCCAGAAGGGGTCAGTGACTGGAGCACCTTTTTATATCTAGATTTATTACTGTGGTATTACTTTATACCTGCTTTTGGTTGTTTAAGACCAAGTTAAAGTGAGATCCTGTGTCAATCAGCATGAACCTCTTCCTGTCTATCAAGGTCAGTTAAGTCTCTTCAAGCATTATTTTGGAACAATGCATAGAGCCTCTCAGCTCCTTTGACAGTGCCAGCCATCAGGATGGGTCACAGCTCTGTTTGACCATGTTGCTTTCAGTGAAAGCATGGGAGACTTTTCCCTCATGGTGACCCTCCTTTGGCACACAGTATATTTTTCCTCTTGTGTCCAGCAATCTCCTTGCTCAGGAGGTTGAGTGACTTAGCAAAGATGGAGGATCCTGTAGGAAAGGTTCCTTGTGTCCTGGATCTTGTAGACCTTGAGGGACCAGGGCTGAAATATTGGCTGGCCTCATAGCCCAGTTAACCTTTCTAGTTTTGGTGTCTAAACTTTAGTTGTTGAACACCCAGAAGAGAAGATGACTGACATCAGTAGTGTAGTAGGAGCAGTGACTTTAATTATTATAAATTTGTCTGGCTATTAAGCATTTTGAAATATAAAGTATAGTTAGGGGGCTGTTACTTCTTATCAACTATGGTGGTTCTGGTAGTTTAATCCCTGCAGAATGTTAACAGACAACAGTTATACATTATAGAAATTTAAGATTATGAGCCACACAGTATTTTAGCATGATAATCATGATGACATTTTCTTTGTCCATCTTTGTATGGAATAATCTTTCAGTCAAACACCTCCATCTGATCACAAGACATTAAATGACACAAAGAAAACTCTTATTTGTTATCCTTTAGTATTATGCCATCTAAGGAGAACATATTATGACCTATAAGTGTTCCTTAGGGGTTCATATTGTCTAACTTCTAATTTTAGTGTGTGACATTGTTTTAACTGTTTGGCAATTGAGCATCCCTAAGTATGGTGACACATATACATCACATAAGTTTTTTTTCATCACATAAGTTTTTAATATTATTTATAGTTATCTCATTGTGGCTTAACATGTATCTCTTATCATAAGTAGCTACAGCACAAGAGAAAGGCAGACACCTGAGTCAAAAAGATCATTACCATAAATATCCTAAAGGACTTGTACACATAGAAGGAATGAATATATACACCATGAGATAACAATGAGTAGCAGTTACATGAAACCCTTTTTCCTTTAATTTTGTCTTGTACCAAGAGCATTTTAAATAAAACATTGTTTCCCATAGAATATTTAGCCAGTTGACATTGACCAATGTATATATATCACAATAATATGTTTAGCAATGTATTTTTATAAGGTTATGGAAA